CAGGAATTCTGGGAGTTGAAGTCCACCAGTCATAAAAGAGCCAAGGTTGCCTACCCCTGTCCTAAGTCCTCCTGTTCTAAGCGGTGAGCCTCCTAGACCAGGGGTAGGCAACCTGGGCTCTTTTATGACTGGTGGACTTCAACTCCCAGAATTCCTGAGCCAGCCTGGCTCAGCTTGGAAACCTCTCCCTTTCCCCTCAGCACGGCTGGCTCAGGAATTCTGGGAGTTGAAGTCCACGAGTCATAAAAGAGCCAAGGTTGCCTACCCCTGCCCTATACCATGGTTGTTAAATGAATCCAGCTTCCCCTCACTGGCTTGGCTGGTCAGAAGGTCGCACAAGGGGAACGGCCTGACCCCCGGGATACTGCGTAGCCGTCATAAATACGAACCAATTGCCAAGCGTCCGGATTTGGATCACGTGACCTGAGCCTGTGGGATTGCTGCAGGGGTCGTAAGTGTGAGAAAGAGTCACAAGTCCCTTTTTTCCCCCGTGCCGTCGTAACTTCGAACGGGTCACTGAATGAACTGCTGTAAGGCTGAGGACTACCTGCAGAAGGGTTGACCGCCTCCTAAGAAGGTTTCCCGCCGTGGAGCCCACGTACCGCGGATTTTATTGTTGGAAAGATCGAGCTTCTCAAGGTGGACGTATTTGTCAAGAATTCTGATGTCGGTCAAAAGGTGATACTGCGGGGATGAAAAAGGGAGAGTGGAGTCAGAAAGTCCTGTTAGTAGACCTGGCTTAAAAACAGTTAACTGTGAGATGGACCTCGGAGTCGTAGTGGACGGTCACTTGACCCTGAGCCAGCCGTGTGCAGCAGCCGCCAAAAAAGCCAATACAATCCTGGAATCTCAAAGTAATTAAACATGGCTGGCTGGGGAATTCTGGGACTTGAAGTCCAGACCTCTTAAAGTGGCCAAGGTTGAGAAACGAGTCAAGTTCTACGTTGAGTTATACTCAAACTTCTCCAGAGTTGGACCACGAAGTCCTAAAACTTGATTCTTGCTCTCTGACCCGAAAGTGAACGCTCTAGCCCTGTTCATGCTGGCTGGGGAATTCTGGGAGTTGAAGTCCAGGCTCTCCAAGATAAGGGTGTGCAAGAGATTGGAGTTGAGGCACTTGTGGACTTAAATAACCAACGTACGATGAAGCACTCTATCCAAAGAGCATTGCGAGATAGCCTTCTTTTAACGGGACTGGGAGAGGCGGGAATGCTGGGGACGAGGTCTTCCTAAACTCACCGAAAGCGACAGATGAAGGTAGACACACTCCGTGCCAGAGGCGGAACGCCCCAAGGTGTGGAGGGCTGCGGCAACTGCATTTTCACTCAACACGCCGTCAAACACCTCCTGCGCGCATGCAAGAGAGAAAGGGAAACAGAGGAAGACCCGGCTGGGCAGAACTGGAATAATTCAAATGCAAGATTGATCGCTTGCAGCTTGGTGAGGCATACCCAGTAGACAGCAGTCTTTTCTCTTGTGTATTATTATTATTATTATTATTATTATTATTATTATTATTATTATTATTATTATTATTATTATTATTATTATTATTCATCACACAGTCAGCCAGATGTTCAGACTGGGTTTGGCATTTTTGCCTACCTATCGAGTCCTTAGCAAGGACCTGGGATAGGCAGATGTGGCGGTTTGAATCGAAGGTGTCACAGATCTCGTCGCAGGGTATCAGCTGTTCTCAGTAAAGCCGCCTTTTGCAATTGACCGATGGCGAATTTGTCAATGCCGAAGGTGTCCAGCTGTTTTGGGATTGCACCCGAGATGCCTTTTGCTATTATTATTACTATTATTACTTAAAATTTATATGCTGCCCATCTCACAGTCATGCGACTCTGTGCACGTTCCCCATAGACCCAAAGTGACATGATGTGGGATTGCAGCCAAGGCAGCATCATCATCATCATCATCATCATCATCATCATCATCATCATCATCATCAAGGATCAGCTAATGGTGGAAAATTAAAAGTTTTACACTTTGCTAGAGCGCAGGTTGGTTTAAGGCTGTGTGGTAAGGATCAGAGCAAGGAAGAAATCTGTACTTTTTCTAGCCTAGGGCTATTGCAATTTGACAGGAAAGACTTTTATTATTATTTTATTATGGTTTTGAACTAGCTCCTCCCGTATATCTCCTAAGAGCCCCCTCCCCAGTTCCCGTAATGCCCAGTATAGGGGCTCCTTCTCAACCAGCCCTCCAGTAAACCTCCTAATAGGAGCCCCCTCCCCAATTCCCATAATGCCCAGTATAGGGGCTCCTTCTGAAGCAGCCCTCCCGTAAATCTCCTAATAGGAGCCCCCTCCCCAGTTCCCGTAATGCCCAGTATAGGGGCTCCTTCTCAACCAGCCCTCCCGTAAACCTCCTAATAGGTGCCCCCTCCCCAATTCCCATAATGCCCAGTATAGGGGCTCCTTCTCAACCAGCCCTCCCGTAAATCTCCTAATAGGAGCCCCCTCCC